GCCCCGCCCGGTCGCGAAGTGGTGGCCAGCGCCAGCAGGGCCCGGCCCCGCGATGTGAGTGCGTCGGGGGTGAGGGCGCGGGTGAGACGCGGGACCGATCCCCTCCGGGGTTGCCGGGGGTCCCAATGGGCGCGAGCACCAGTGTGCGGGTAGCCGGGTGGGCCGTCAGGTGCGGGCCCAGGTATGGCGGGCGGGAGGGCCGGGTGCTCGCTGGCCAAGCCGGACCAATCCCGTATCACTTCTCGGCCCAAGGGACCGAGCCTGGTGCGGAGCCCCGGCCAGGGCGGGGGCGGCGAGAGGCGACAGGCGCGGGCCTGACGTCTGCTGTACCCGGGCCCCCGCCAGCTGTAACTGGGGTTTCTGGCTCGGGCGCTGGGGTTGGGAGATGTGATGCCAGTGGGTGTCAGCTGCGCCCGGGTCCCGAGGTGACCCCTATCTCTGCTCCCGGCTGAGCCAGTCTGTGAGCCCAGATCTGCTGTTTCTGGAAACTGTCACCCACCCGGCAGCTCTCACATATAGAGCACTTTCTGTTCTCGCAGTTTAGATGCAGTCCTCTAAGCCACATTCTGTAGTTCAGGGAACTCGAGGCCTGGAGCCGCACCGCTATTCCCTGTGATCGTTTTCATGTGGAGGTGAGGCCTTGCAGCCAGACCCCTGGGTGCACGTGGGCTGCTCCGCAGACCTGCTGTGTGACCTTGGGCCCTTCAAGCCTCTGGTGGCACGGAGGTGCTTACCTCCTGGGCTGTTGTAAGACTGGTGTGGGATAGCCCAGGGACAGCCAGTGCTCACTGGAGAGCCACGGTGTCGGTCGTTGCTGAGTGGGCCCTTTTCAGTGGCCGAGGAGCTAGTGGCAAGGCAGGGGTCAGGACTGTCTGGTCCATCACAGCTGGCTGGTGGAGGGAAGAGGCTGTTCTCTGTGCTGAAGCTGTCCCCGTCTGTGTTTGTCTATGGGCACGGAAGGCCACACGCCACCCAGCTGTACCAGCATGTCCCGGAGTCGCGCTGGCCCATCGTATACTCGCCGCGTTACAACATAACTTTCATGGGCCTGGAGAAGCTGCACCCCTTTGATGCGGGAAAATGGGGCAAAGTGATCGGCTTCCTGAAAGGTACGAAAGGTCCCTATATCAGACCCTGTATCTGCTTCCTCCAAGCCACCTGTTACTCTCCCAGCCCCTCTCTGCTGTCCCCGACACAAGCTCGAGGCTCTCCCACCTCCAGTTTCCGCCCTCAGACTGCCTCCCACCCATGTTATCAAAAGGGTCTTTCTGGCACAGACTTCTAAATAGGATCTGTCCATGTCTCCAACTCCCACAGCTCTCCATTGCCATGGGTCTAAGTCCTGCCTCTGCGCCTGGAGGCCCAGTCGAAGGGGGACTGATTTTTGGACACAGAGAAGCTGAAGTTTGGAGAATCCAATGTCTGTATGCCATAAGCTCGGAGAGGTAGAACTTTTGTTCTACCTCCTTGGTGACATATTGAGGAATTAGGGCCCAGAAAAGTTAGGAAATATGGTCAAGGTGACACAGCTACTCGGGCCAGGCTGAGGCCTGGAACGTAGAGTTTATGGCTCCTTCTCCCCGGGAAGGGGGTGCCCTTCTGCCACCACTTCAACTCTGGCTTGTAACCCAGGGACATGGCACAGGTGGAAACTCAAGCACGTGTGGGCTAATGTGAGTCTATCCTCGTTCCCCATATCACGGCTGCTTGAATGGGGGAGGGTATAGGAAATGCTCCCATGGGGTTACCTTTGTGGGATGAAGCTTCAAACAACCCTGACCATGCCATGGAGAAAGTTCCAGTGGGGGGCTAGCTAAGTCTGTTAACACATAGCAAGGGGCAGGTCTGCCCCTTCAAGAAAATAGGACCAGATTAGGTGTTAATAACTGTTTCTTTCTATTGTATCTGTACTTATTAGTTAACTTCTATTTATGGCAAATGATACTGATTTTCTCTTTGCAGTAGGGATTGAGAGAGTATTCACAGAGAAGGATAAACTGAAAAAGCACACGAGGGGTGTGCACTGATGGGACAAGATGGCCAGGTGAGCGGAGCTAGCCGCCTCCCACCTTGCAGTTCCGTGCCTCCCTGAATGCGGCCCTTGTGCGCTGTTTCTGGCAGTCCCAGCCGACACCTGCCCTGTGTTGCCCTGGAGCTCAACAGAAGGGTCTCTCGTCTCCCTCTTCTCCGAGCCAGTCCTGACCTCCTGCCTCTCTCCTGTGAGGATGTCCGGAAAGTGGCCAGAGCCACAGGGAAGGCCTTAGGTCTGTCCAGAGTTGGCCTTTGCCTCAAGGCTCGGAGAGCCATGGGGTGTTCAGGGTGGGGGAGCGGCTGCTATCGGGGCACTCTGTGTGTGGCTGTCACTGGTTTCTACCAGGGTCCTGAATGGGGGACACATTAAAACAGGGCCCGCAGATTCTGACCTTGCTGCTCTGACTTCCCAAGAACATCGAACACATGGTCCGTCCCTGCTGTGCCCAGAGTACCCCTCGCAGCCTCTGCTTCTTCATTTGCAGTTCGCAATGAATCTTGTCCGGAATCTGTGAGGAGTGATGAGATAATGTTCCTGTTTCCCAAACAGCAGTCATTCACGAACCACTCTGGGGTCTTGGCATCTCCTCATCCCACCTGTTCCATTATTTACTTCATATTTTGCATGAACTCAGCCTCTGTTTTAATAATCTTAAATACACTTGCTTTAAAAAAAAAGAAACATTATGTCATCGGACTGGAAAAAGCCAGTTTCACTTGCCATAAATAGAAGGTCATGGTAAAAAAAAATAAATGCAAGGAAAACAACAGTGTGATTCAATTCAGGCTGCTGCTGCCTGTGGGCTGCGAGACTGACCCGTCTTTTGGTTAAAAAGGGAGATGAGCAAGGGCTAGGCAGGGGTTAGGGACCCCCTCCCCATGATGCCAGGTGAAGCTAGAGGGAAAATTGACGAGGTTAGGTTTCTTACCTTGAGGTACCACGTCACTGACCCAAGCGCCTCCTGCCCTGAAGGCAGTCCACTCACTCCTGCCCTCACCTGATGCTCGGGAAACAGTCTTTGATGTCGCCTGGCCTGAGGGTCTGGCCGTGGTCCTCGCTGGCCCAGCACGTGGCCCCTACTCAGACTGTCCACAGCCGTGCCCACCTTCTCCTGGGCAGGCCTGCCAGAGGCCAGGTTGGCGGCCAGTGGGAGGGCCTGGGCTGGGCTTGACCGCGAAGCAGGGCGCCTGCTTGTGGTTTCAGAAGAGAAGCTTCTGTCGGACAGCATGCTGGTGGAGGCTCGGGAAGCCTCGGAGGAGGATCTGCTGGTGGTGCATACGAGACGCTACCTCAATGAGCTCAAGGTACGGGGCCGCGGGCCGGGAGCCGCTTTGGGCCGGAGGGACTGCGTCTGGGAAGGGGGCAGCTCAGCCCGGGTGGACGCGCAGCCCCAAGAGGCCATTCCTGTTCTTGGGCAGGGACAGCATGTGAGCCCGTGGTCCCCACGACAAGGACAGAGGTGACATAAAATAGGTAGCCACCGAGGCTGGGCCCGCTGCCGGGTGGTGTGAAAGCGCAGCAGGGCTTTGCGCCTCCACATCGGAGATGTCTGCATTTGATCTGCATTTCACACGTGGGCTCTGGAGCGGGCACACCTGGGCTCTGAGGCGCAGCTCTGTCTCCATCCAAAGACAGCCGTTCCGCTTGGCCGAGGCTGAAATTCAAGGTTCTGCCCTTCCAAAGACTTGTCGAAAACCGTTGGGCCCTGTATTTGTTTGAACAGCCGCCAGCCCGGGCCGGCCTGGAAGGTTGACAGTGGCTAGGCTGTAGGTGCAGGAGCGAGCCCTGCCCTCCGCCTGGGGGCGACGGCCTCTCGGGTCCACAGCAGGTCTGGCTGGACTCTTGACTTTGGAAAGAAGCCAGAAATGCAGGTGATGACTGAGGGTGCCTGAATCTTTACTGTGGCAACTCATCCTCAGGGGTTTAAATCTCACATGCAGATGACTGTGCCTCCAGGCTGCCCCACAGGGACTCTGGAAGCCACAACCTGCCTCTGCATGGAGCCAGAGGGGCTGGGTTGGATGAGTATCCCCGAATTGGGTGCTGCCAGCCTGCCCCCGCAGCACAGAGTGAAGGCTACCACAGGCTTTCTGCCCCCAAGGTGTGGGAGCCCTGCCCCCTAGCTTCCCTGCTGGACCCCTCTGAGACTCAGCACTATAGTGGGCGCCAGAGATCACCAGGCCCCTCCCCGCAGCAGGCGCACCGCTCAGGTCACCTGGAACACGTGGCAGGCCCTGGGGAGACCCAGGCCAGGAATCCAGTGTGGTCTTCCAGTTCCTGGTCACAGCTGCGCCTGAGCTGTGAGAATTCTAGATGGAGCTGTGACAGTGTGAGCTCATGAAACATTACCAGGAAGAGGTTGAAACCTGGCTCCTGGGAGAGAGGTGTGCGAGAGCTTGGCAGGAAGCCTAGAGCTTGGCTGCCCTGGTTTCCTGGGCATGGACGCCACGGGTACCACCCACAGCCCAGGGCGGGCGAGGGTGGGGCCAGAGCACAGTGCAGCGAGTGTACCGAGATAAGGCTGGGAGGGTGGCAGTGGGCTCTAGGGCCCCACCCATTTGGGGGATCTGCAGGGGAACCAAGCTGTGTGCCTGGCTTTGAGACCCCCAAAACCTGAAGGCCACTCACTGTGTGATAGCATTAAAAAAAATCTTAGCAGGGAGGATCCAAAATAGAAAATTGAGGTCAACTACACATCTGACTTGGCACATCCTAGCAGGCCTAGCGAAAGGGGAGACCAGTGACTTCCTAGCGCCTATTAAGGTGAAGAAGCATTTGGGCATTCGCCACTGAGTCAGGGGTACTGTGTGCTGGATACAGAAAATGAACAGTCTGGCTTCCTCTTCCCGTGCAATTGCATTTTAGTGGTGGAAGACCAAACTAGACAAGAGCATTTCAGAGACTGCCAAGGGCTGAGAAGGAAAAGCATTGGCGGTAACTGGGCACAAGTGAGCTCCTCTAGACACCTCCCAGAGGAGGCGAGCTTTGCCCTGAGGCTGAAGCACGGGGTGTGCTGCAGTGGGAGCAGCAGGCCAGGCCTGTTCGGGCCCCACCAGTCAAGCACTGCAGTCTCCTGGGAGGGCTGGGGCAAGGGAGCTAGGCCTCCCGGGGAAGGTGCGGGGGGAGGGGGGCAGCTCGTGCCCCAGGCTCCTGAGTGCGGTGTCCCTCTGGCATGGTCTGTGCAGCGGGGAACAAGAACCCCAGTGGTGGGAAGGCAGATAACAAGCGCTGCACGGTAAACTCAGGTGGAGACCGGTGCTTCCAGAAAGATGAAGCAGAGATGGATCTAGGGTGCGGGTGGGTGCCCTTCAGGTGGGGCAGTGAGGACAGACCCCTCCATGGTCCAGGTCCTCCTTTCAGACCTAGGAGAAGTGCCCCGTTGCACAGCTGAGGAGACAGGAGGGCAGGGTGCCGGGCTGTGCCCAGACACGCTGTGTGGCCATGTCCGGAGTGGGCCAGCCCGGCTCTGGGGAGGCGGGTGATCGCGTCCTGGCCCCAGCTGCCAGGGTATCTTCCACCTGGCCACAGCCGTGCAATGATAGGAACATTCTAGAGGGCTCTTCTAATCCAGCGACCACCAGACACATGTCTACTGAACACTTGAAAAGCAGTCACTGTGATTGAGGACGAACTCTCCAAGATTTAGAAATGCAACTTAATTGAATGTGGCAAAGAAGAGGCCCTGTGGGACCGGTGGCTTTGAGGCTGGCCTCGGTGGCAGCAGGCCACGCCACCACCCTGCAAGCCTGCCGTGGGGCACTGACCTGTCCAGTTGGTCCTTTGAGACCAGAAGCTGGAAGCGTATATACATACCATATACGTCACACATATCCAGCCCCTTGGCTGAATCCTGTAACTGCTTCCGGTGACTTTCTGCCTTTCTGTCTCCCCCAAGACTGCAGCTTTGAGAGAGTCAGCATATACCACATAAAAAGCTAAAGGCAGGCAGAGGGTGATGGTTGGAAATTTGGGAAACACTGAGTGAAGCAAAGTTAGCGGATTCCTGACTACAGAGCTCCTCAGAGCCCCTGGCCTGCCCCAGGGTGGTGAATATCCCAAAGGTGGAGGGTGCACACTTACCCAAGCTTACTGGATATGGGACCCTTCCTTGGTAGAGAGCCGGTCGTGACAGACTGCTGTGGACACACTTAGAGAAAGGCCATCTTGCGCTCCTGTGTCTACAGTGACCCCTCCTGAGTTGAGATGAGGCTTCACTTTCTTCCCATCACCACCCACTGCTGGCGGGCTGAGGTAGCAGGCAGGCAGCGACCAGCTTCCAGAGAGTGGCTCATCTGTCTGTCCACTGGTGCATTCACAGAAAACAATAGCTCCAGTCTCCCCCACAGTGGGCCTGTGGGCAGTGGGACTGGAGCGGCCATTAGGCCAAGGAGCTGTCAGCTTGGGCAGAGGCCTTCCCTTCTCTGAGTCTGTCCCCCACCACATACATGCACACAGCTACATACCCCTCCCCACACACACTACACACACCACAGGCACACACCCCACATCACACATATACCACACACACCAGACACCACACACACCCCACGTCACACATACCACACATACACCACACATGTGCTACACACACACCATATACGTCACACATACCACAGACACATACATGCCACACACACCACACGTCACATGTATACCATACACATCCCACATACCACACAAACACCACGACGCTACATACACGCCACACATGCCACAGACACACCGCACGCGCCTCTCACACACATCACACACACACACACACACACACACACACACACACGTTTACCTCCTCGTTGCAGCTCCAACACCCCTGGCTGGTGAAGAAGGCTGGACAGACACCTTTCCCCAGACCCATACAAGGGGTCCATGGGCTCTGCTGAGAGGCCCCCAACCTGAGTGAGGGGGCAGAGCCTGTCCCCCCAGCCGTCCCCTGTGCTGTGGCCTAGGAGGGTGGCCACACAGATGTGCGCTGGACATGCGCAGACCTCAGCGGGACGTCTACCCTTGGCCAGCGGCTAGGGTCTCCTCGGTGCAGCTGGGAAGGCTCCGGCTGACGGCTCCCCGCTGACAGCAGTGGCTGAGGGCCGCTCCGGCAGCCGGCCTGGCCCTGTCCCAGCTGTACCCAAATTCTCTTGAACATGGACTCACTTTCTGCTCCCAGTTCATCTTTTTACCTTGAGTTTATGCCCCACTGGATGACTCCTGTCCACCTTCCATCTGAGCTTCAACGTCAGAGCTTCCAGAAAGCCTCTCTGACCGCATGTGAGGCATAAGCCTTCTATAGGCTTCACAGGACTAGTCCTGATGTGGGACCGTCTCCCCGGCCACCTCACCTGGCAGCCTGGCACCATTAGGCACCAGCAAATGTTTGACAAAGCAAGTGACTCACTTACCCCTCCCCCCACACACACACCCTGGCTCTAGGAACTGTGGGGAGCAGGGGCCCCGGGACCTTGACAGCCAGTCGAGAGAGGTTCAGGGTCTGGCCCATGGGTATCTGGCTGGGACCAGGGAGGGTACAGGGAAGGCTGTGCCCAGGTGCTCCTACCTCAGCTGGAAACCCAGGACCTGACCCACGCCCTATTTTTTTCGTTTCTCTTTTATTTTACGACCAACACTCATAGCTGCCCAAGCATCAAAAATGTCATGCTTCCAAGATTTCTGGAGGTTGGTTCCGCATGCAGGGCAAACATGCCGCCCAGGCGTACCACTGAGAGGCCCTTTTCCAGACGCTCCCTTTGAGGGGAGGTCCTCAGCTTCTTCCAGTGAAGAGGCCCTGCTGTGCGCGTTTTGAGTGCTGACTGTCCGACTCACTGTGTGACCTTGGAAAGAAAGAGCCCCCCAACGCCCCCCTCCCCAGCTCTGTGCCCCCTTCTGTATGGTGAGGGGAGCTGGGGGGGTTCTGTGCACCAGGTAACTTGGAGCCCTTGCAGATCTTGTTCTGGGCACAAGAGGGCAGCCAAGTGCTTTGGAGCACGGAGGACTCTGGGCTGACTTATTGCAGCTCTGGAGGGAGCCCAAAGCCTGACGGGGACCTGAAGAGATGGGACTGCTCTGGACCGTTGGGTTCACCCAGGGCACCTGGAATTTGCGGGGGTCGCGCTCCTACCTGGGGCTGCCTCTGGGCTGCGGGTTCCCACACCTTGTCTCCTCGGCAGTGGTCCTTCGCTGTGGCGACCATCACGGAAATCCCGCCTGTCATCTTCCTTCCCAACTTCCTGGTGCAGAGGAAGGTGCTGAGGCCCCTCCGGACCCAGACAGGAGGCACCATCATGGTAGGTGGAAGGCGGAGGGGGCAGGCCGGCCGGGGACCCCACACAGGCTCCTTCCCACCCTGGGCCTTGGCTTTCCCGGGCTCTGCCTCTGGAATGCCGCTCCCCACGTTGAGGGGGTCAACATTCTAAATATCCCCAAGGCCCAGCAACAACGGCCCTTTCTCCCAGAGCCTCGCCCATGCCAGGACTTTAGAATTCCCAGTTCTATCCCCTACACCGCCTACTGGGGTTACGCCTTTGCTGGTATTGAAGACCTCCCCCAAACAGCACATGGCACACCGGCCCCCGCACGTTAAAGATGGAAACCAGACCCTGTGATGTCAGGGTGGGCCGGCGCCCCTCCCCCAAGAACCAGCCACAGGAGGCTTCCCGCCCTGTGTGTAATTTTCTTAAAAATTCTCTGCAGTTCGCTGAGCTGAACATTTCTACCCCCTGGCCATACCTACTGATTCCCGTGGTTTTCTTTTGAACTACAAATGCATATATTTTTATTAGAATACGACTGCCCACCCTAAAGCTATATCTTACAGGATCTCAGTATTCAGCCTACCCTATTTCCATGAGCAAAGCATTGTTTTTCCTTTGAAAGCCCACTAAAGCCTTCAGTTCATCTGGGACTGTAAGCACTTAACTTTCCTTCTTTCCAGTTTCCTTGCAACCTTGCAAGGGCTCATGCTGCGCACTGATGGGCCAGTGGGCCTGGGACTCGCTGCCCAGCTGACTGGGGAGAGCCTGGGTGGGGGTGGTGCCTGCTGCCCCCTCAGAGCTGTCTGGAAACTGTGCAGACTGAGGGGGTGAGTTAGTGAAAAGTGCGCAGGGGAGGCGCTGTGCACGCCCCTCACGCTGGGCTTGTCTCCGAAGGCGGGGAAGCTGGCCATGGAACGCGGCTGGGCCATCAACGTGGGTGAGTGGCTGGCTGGCGTGGCCAGGGGCTGGGGGCCGGGGGGAAGCTGGGGCAGGGGAAAGTAGAGGCTGCGAAAGGGCGTGGGGTGTTCACCTGGGGCTCCTTGTGGAATCGTCTGGAGGTGGCCAGCAGAAGGCACCCCCACCCCCACCCCGCCGCCCTCCCTTCTGCTTCTTCTTCCCTTCCCTTCTCTTTCCTTTCCCTTCCAGAATTCCAGCTTCTCCCTTACTAGATTCTGGACAGAGTGTTGCCTTTTTTTTTTTTTTTTAAAATAGTGATTAGTGTAGTCATTTTAATCTATTTTAAAATATTGACTGTATTTCTGCTTTTCCCTGACCACGCTTGACACCTTCTCCCCAACCCAGGGACGGTCCTTGGCGCTTGCTTCTGCATGTTTTGCTTTGTTGACTCACCTGCCCTGGCTGTGAGAGTCTGACACGCGTCGCTCCCACAGTCCCTCTAGCTCTTCCCACGCCCCTGCCGTGGCGGCCCCCCTTTCCTTGTGACTGAGCAGCATTCCCCTGGGTGGGTGCAGCATGTCCTTTCTGATAAGCCCCCTCCGCACCCCCAGAATCTGGTGGTGCCCTGCGGGAGTCAGGGGGAGCAGGCCCGGCTCCGGGGCGAGGGACAGCTTTCTGCCTGGGGAGGGTGAGCCCTGCCCCTGGGCAGGAGCCAGGCCTCAGGGCCCGCCTGCCCACAACATGAGGGCTCTTGCTCTGGGCAGGGTGCTATGTGCCAGGCACTCAGTTCACTAGGTCAGCTGAGGACTCACCTGGGAGCCCAGGGGGGGCGATGCCGGCGGGGACAGCAGTCAGTCCTGACCCTACCGTGTCTGCCCTTCTGCAGGGGGCGGCTTCCACCACTGCTCCAGCGACCGGGGCGGGGGCTTCTGTGCCTACGCGGACATCACGCTGGCCATCAAGGTGCCTGAACACCGGATTCGGCGCCAGGGGTCCGCCTGGAACCCTCGCGCAGCCCCACATCTGCTGTTCTTACCCCGCGTTGTTGAGAAGGGAACCAGGGTCCGGGAGGGGGAAGCTTGCTGCTGGGTGCCCCACCAGGCTGGGCCCCAAACCCAGGCGGACACTCCCCCTCTGTTGCCTGTGCCCGAAGGCAGAACGGGGCTCAGGCCGAAGGCAGGGCTGGGTCTGGTGGGGAGCAGCACTTACCCACCAACAGCCTCAAATTCGAGACGGGCGTATCGCTCAGAGTGAGGAGACCATCCCACGGCGGTGACGGCGACGACAGCACCCGCTGGCCTGACCAGGGCCGGCCTCCACCCCCCGGCTCACCCCACTCAATCCTTCCTTAGGACAGATGAGGACACGGAGGCCCGGAGAGGGGCGTCACACAGCCAGAAGAGGCTCAGCCTCCTGTCTGTGGGACCCCCAGCTCCCCGCTCCCCGCACTTGGCAGGGTGGGGCCTTAGGAACACAGCGAGCTTCCTGCTCCCACAGGGCACAGCCACTGGGGGCAGGCAAGTCAGGAGACCCTGGCACTGGGCAGGGAGGGGCAGGAGAGGGTGGAATGGGGCGAAGACGGCAGACCGCAGCTCCAGGCAGTCCTGAGGGGAGGGTCCTCCCTCCCGGCCCCCACACGTGCCCCCAGGAGTCCCGGACTGCCAGTCCCTCCGCCTCTCGCACTCGGCCTCGCTGGCCCTCTCCCCCGCCCGCGCCCCTCCTGTAAGAGCCCGCCCCCCGGGCCAGCGTGCCTCCCTGGCGCTGCACAGCGCTCCTGGCATCTCTGCCCGCGGCCTGGCGGCCCGTAAGCACACGCGCCCCCACCCCAGCAGTGGCCGGGGCTGGGTCCTCACGTGCCCCTCTCCTCCGGGCAGTTCCTGTTTGAGCGAGTGGAGGGCATCTCCAGAGCCACCATCGTGGATCTCGATGCTCATCAGGTGAGTGCCCTGGGGCGCGGCTGTGGGGAGACTGCGCCCACCCTTGGCGACGCCCCTCAGAGACACCCCACGCTGGCCTCTGCTGCCCGCCCTGAGCGCGTACCCCCCCCCCGCCCGCAGCCGGCCCTGCTCTGCCCCAGCTGTCGGCTGAGGCTCCCCTTAGTCTGTTGCTCTCAGCCAGGACAGGTGGTGCGTTGTCCTCACCGCTCCTAATTAACCGGGGGTCCTCCCTCCCCCTCTCTTCTCTAGTGGGAGGCTGACAGTGCTACCCTCATGCTCTGCTGCCCACCGTGGCTCCCCAGGGTCCCCAGGCCATTTTCCAAGAGCTGCTGAGCACGTGGCCCTGCCCCTCCCACGGGCTCCCAGCAGCGCAGGACTGTGGCGGTCTGAGCACTGCCTGGGCTGCAGTCGGGCCTCCCCCTCCAGACTCCAGAGTCAGGGCCGGCATCAAACAGGCTCCTCTCTGTGACTGTGACCTTGAGCTGACTGGCCCCTGCTCCAGTTCACATGAACCGAGCTTATGCACCAACCACGCGTGCAAACCCTTGCAGTTTGCTCATGTCCTGATCCCAAGCGTCCATCCCACTATGGCTTCTGAGGGTGGCAGGACGCCAGACCCAGAGAAGAAGCGGGGGGCCGGAAGGGTCCGTTGTGCTGGAAGGTCTCGGTAGGGCCGTGAGCCTGGATCACAGCGCTGCACTTAGCTCCCGGCGCCCCCTGCTCCGGGATGAACAGGCTGTCCCAGGCACGTAGGGCTTCTTCTAGGGTTCGGTGGGGGGTCCTGGCCATGGCGTGGGCACCTGCTTTCCAGAGGCTCCCATGTCCTCCTACAGGGCAACGGGCACGAGCGGGACTTCATGGGCGACAGCCGCGTGTATATCCTGGATGTCTACAACCGTCACATCTACCCTGGGGACAGCTTTGCCAAGCGTAAGCCGCCCCCGCTCTGCAGTCTTAGCTGCGTTCTTGCTTGGGGGTGCTCTCCTGAGCGTTTCCTCCACCCTGGACCCTGGACTCTGCAAGGCAGGGATTGTTCCCGATTTATAGATAAGAGCACTGAGACCTGGAGAAGTCATGTAACCGCCCGAGATCACAGGGGTGGGTCCCCGGTCGGGGGTGGCCACCAGAAGAAGAATCAAACTTGCCTCCTAGGTCTGCAACAGTCTGGTAGAGAACAAGAAAGCTAAAGAGAACCAAGAAAAGTAGAAATAGCAAATGCAAAAGCAGGTGGCAGGAATGGCGTCTCAGACAGTAGCAACAGAACAGCGCGAGTGGGTCACTGACGGACCGCGAGTCAGGGCTCTCCGGTGGGCGGGGAAACGCAGCGGGCATTCACCAGAAAGCGTGGCTCCGCCCGGGTAGCTCAGCCCTTGGCGTGGCCCTGGCACAAGCTGCTCCATCTGAATGTGCTGGATTTGGGCACGAGGCACAGTGGCTTGTCCACGTGCCTGGACGCAGCAGTCGGTGGGCACAGCTGCCTGGCCTGGGTCTCTGAATCCCGCGCTGAGGTGTTTCACCGCCACCCGCTTCTCTTCCTTGGGGCCCTGTGCAGTGCTTGGTGCTCTTTATTAGGGTGGCTTTGGGTGAAACGAGAGTCTGAGTAGTCTGAGCAGTCCGGAGTCACCGGGTCTCCAGCCCGCTGTGGCACTGCCAGGAACGTGGGCGGTCTGGGTCCTCCGCGCCCGTTTCCCCTGCCCTCTGACGGGCTTCTTGCTCATTCTCAGAGGCCATCAGGCGGAAGGTGGAGCTGGAGTGGGGTACGGAAGATGACGAGTACCTCACTAAAGTGGAGAGGAACCTCGAGCGAGCTCTCCGGGAACACCCGCCCGACGTGGTGGTCTACAACGCAGGCACCGACATCCTCGAGGGTGACCGTCTCGGGGGGCTGTCCATCAGCCCACAGGTAGGTTGCGGCCCTGGCGCCGCGGGAGGGGCTGCTCTGGGGCATGGGCAGCGGCGGCGTTGGGGAGGAGCTAGGCCCGCCGCAGGACGAGGACGAGGGCGTCCAGCACTGGCCCGGCCACCCCCTGTCCCCCGCCTGAGCCAACCTTTCTCTTACTCTCCCAGGGCATCGTGAAGCGGGATGAGCTGGTGTTCCGGGTGGTCCGTGGCCAACAGGTGCCGATCCTCATGGTGACCTCGGGCGGGTACCAGAAGCGCACGGCCCGCATCATTGCTGACTCCATCCTCAATTTGTACAATCTGGGCTTTATCGGGCCTGAGGCCAGTGATGTCTCAGCACAGAACTCAGACACGCCTCTACTGCCCCCCGAGGTGCCCTGACCTTGTGCCCTTCTGAGCGGCTCCCTGCCTGCCTGCCCTGCCCTGCCCGCCCCTCAGTGCCTCTCCCCTTCTACCCACTCAGGGCGGTGGGGGCAGTCTCCAGGCAGTGCTGGGGCGTGGGGGCCTGTCCCCGACTGGGCTGGCCTTAGGGGCCTCGCCCGTCCCAGCAGCTCTTCACTCTCCCGCTGGGTGCCTAGGGTGTCCGGCCTCTCTGTGGGTGGGGTCAGAAGGCAGGGCCTGAGCCCCAGGAAGACCCCCTGAAGTCATGGCCCCATGGAGGCAAGCGTGGGAGGAGGGGAGGACAGGTTAGGTGCCGAGGGGCCATCGCGAGCCAGTCCACGCCAGACTGAGAAGCTTCCATCTCTGCCAAGCGTTCCCTCCGCAGTGGTGAGGTCGAGTCCATCTTCCTCACTCAGGCAGGGCTGAGGGCATCCAGGTGGAGGGAAGAGCAGCAGCCAGGCCTCTGGGCAGCAAGCAGAGGGAGTCCTGGCCCGGGGTGCTGGTGGCTTTTCCATCCACATGCCCCTCTGGGAAGCAGGGCTGGTCTTGCTTTCGCAGAGCCCCGTGGTGGTAAGGGGAGCGGAGTCCTGAGCAGCCCCAACTCTGCTTCAGCAGGGGAAGCATGCTTAGCTCAGGAACGGGGCTTCCAGGGGAAGCTGACTGGTGGGCAGGGTCAGAGGAAGGCGAGGCCAGGTGGGGTAAGTGAGCGGGGCAGGTCACCGGGCCAGCTCCTGCAGGACCTGGGGCCCCAGGCTGAGACGGAGGTGCTGGTGAGGCTAGGTTCCTGCAGGGAGAGCAGAAGGCCCCCATCCTGAGCTGCGGGTTGTAAGGTGGGGGGTCTTGGGCGGGGTCCCGGGTGGGGTTGCAGCCTCCACTGGCCACTCCCAAACCCCCAGGCCCTGGGCATACTTTGTGTCCAGGGTTTCAAGTGGGCCCAACACCTGGCCTTTGAAGAGCCCCAGACCCTGCCCCCGTGCTCAGATCTATGCTGAAGAGAACACCCAGACCCTTCAGAAAGGTGGCGGGACACGGTCACCCCTCATTGCCCGGGGGATGGTCCTTAAAGGCGAACAGGTGTGGGGTGAGCAGGAAAGTGAGTCAGCCGAGGCGGCTGTCCCCCGCCAGCCCCCACCTGCGGGACTTGTGGTCTGCCCTGGAGAGGCTCCTGCATTCTCCCACCCTCTCTCCATGTTTCCTCTGCTGGCGGCAGGGAAGGCCCCAGATGACCAACTGTCTAAAATGCTGACCAGTGGGTCAAGGCCCAGGCCCTAGTCACGCAGTGGCCCCCGCCCCAGCCCTGGCTATTGGCCCCTCACATCCCCCATCTCCCACTCGGCCTGCGGCATCCGGGGACGGCGGCGACGCACTTCGCCACTCGCGCTTCAGTCCACAGAGAACCCAGAAGGCTCTTGACCGGACCCTGAGATGGAGAATCCGTACTCCTACGGATGAAGGAAATGAAGATTAAAATCTCCACAGCACAAGGCCTGGCTTGTGGGGTTGTTTCCCAATAAATGCACCTCTTTTACTCCCTCCTTAGTGCCCTCCGGTCAAGGTAATTATTCCAGTCTCGCAGATGTGGAAACCGGGGCTCAGGGAGGAATCTGCCCCGGCCACACTTCTTGTGAGTGGTGGAGCTGGGTTTGAACCCGCCCGGCCAGATTCTGGAATATTTGTTCTCAGCCACCTCAAACTTGGCAGGAATGATGGGGGTGCAGGGCAGGAGGCCCTCCAGGTGGGAGATGTTCTGGGGCCTGAGGTCACTGGGAGTGGGTCTGGAAAGTGTGGGGTCGGGAGGGTAGGCTGAGCAGGGCGTGACGGGCCCTGCTGGGGCAGAGTGGGAGGCGGCCGGCTTTTAGCTGGGCCCCGGGCTGGGCCAGAGAGGCTGCAGCCCTCTGGGGTGATCAGGGTGTCCGCAGGATGGGTGCCACAGCCTGCACGGGGGCAGGTAATGGCGAGCCGGGGTCTCATCCCAGGTGGATCCCAGCTGAGTTGGCTGGGCTGGGCTGGAGCAGGGGGGTGCGGGGGGTGCTGGCGGCAGCTCCTAACTTGGCCCTAGTCTGCACCTTATGTCCTCCACCCTCCTCCCCACAGAGCCTCAGGCCACCCGTCTGGTCAGCTGGCTGGAACAAGGAGGCTGCACCTCCCAGCACCATGGGTCTGCGCTCCAGTGGTGGCCGGGGGAGTGCTCTGTCCCCCGGCGGGACCAAGCCTAAGACTAGTTTAACAGGACCCTGGTGGGAGGACAGCAGCTGCGCTGGGCATCAGTATGGCCTGGCAGCCCCCAACCTGCCTAGTGGACTCCCAGGCAGATCTGAAGCGACTTTTTTGATGCTTCCCTGGCTCTTGGGCCAAATGCTTGGGGTTCAGGGCCAGGAACTCCTCCAGGGAGCTTGCCCTCGAGTTGATTTCATTTAGCTCAGCCAGCTCTGGCTGGGGACACCCTCCTCCAGGCCCTGGGCCAGCTCCAGAGGCTCAGTGCCACCTGGGATGAGCGGTGTTGCAGGGCGCAGCAGTTAACGCGGGTCTGGGCCCTCCGCGCCGGCTTCCCCTTCCCGCTTCCCCTGCGAGCTGGGTGACGCCTTTCTGTGCCTGCCTTCCTCCTGTGTAAGTGGGGACAAGAGCACCCGCCTCCTAGGATTGTCGAGAGAATTAAGTGAGTTAGTATGCTAAAAGTGCTTACAGCTGTAGCTGGTGTGAAAGGGGCAATCAAGTTGCCTGTCACCACCACTCTCACCATTTTACAGAGGGGACAGACTCAGAGAGGTGAAGCCATGTGCCCAAGATCGCACAGCCAGACAATGGCAAAATCAGGGATTGGACCCGAAGGACTTTGCCCCAGCAGACCCTCAGGCAAAGGTTTGGAAGGACAGTGTCTCAGGAGTGGGAATCCAGCACCCCCCTGGACCTCCCAGAGACAGCCCCCGGCCCCAGACATCCTGGGAGAGGCAGGCTGGCGAGATGAGGCAGGGGCCGGCACGGGAAAGGCAGCCACGCATCTGAGGTGGCAGGGCCAGGCGGGGCCAGTGCAGCTGCTTCGCGGGTGAGTAGCTCTGTGCTGGCCGGGGGGCCTGCAGAGACTGGCGGCTTCCACAGCTAACCTGGAACCGCCCTTGGGCTGGAAGAAAGGAAGAAACATTTGGGGCCGTCCTAAGGGTCATCTGGCTCACAGCTTGAATTTTCCAAGTACAGAGTGAATTTAAAACAACAACAACTGAGTAGGCGGCTGGGAAGTGCTTTACGGATTGACGCATGTGGTGGGACCCAGGGCCCATGGGACCACCTGATGCCCTGCTGGACACACATGCGGGGGGCTGAGGCGCGGCCAGGCCCACTGCTGCTGGGCCCGGGAGGCCTGGGTGGAGGAGCAGAGGGAGGCCGCTATGATGCGCGTGCTGGTGGGCGCCACAGGCAATTTGTTGATGGGGAAAGAGGCCCAGGGAAGGCTGTTGAGAAGCCTGATGCCCTGGGCTAGGAGCCCAGCCTCCTGGCTCCCTCCTGGGGTAGAGAGGAAGGAAAAGATGGGGTGAGGTCAGGGAGATGGCTCAGGGAGACGGAGGGCCTGGGGAGCCCTCCCTGTCATGAGCCACACCCTTGTGCTCCCATTCACTGTTCGTCCTCACCACAGCCCCCACCCACCCGCCGGCAGCTGTGAGCCCGTTCACAGACTGACTGGGAGAGCAAGGCTCAGAAACCACCCCGCTCTGTGCGCTTTCCTCCGCATTTCCTGCTGCTGCTAGGCCCCGCTGACAGAGCAAGCAGGCCCGGGGCTCGCTGTGGGGTGTGGCGGGGAGCGTCTCTGGAGAAGGACACCAGCTGGTGTTTGCCCGCCTTGGTTTGGGAGCCGGGCTGGCAGCGCCCCCCACCGAGGCTCAATCCCCCCTGCAGCGGACTGTGGGAGCCAGGATACGGCTGGCACGAGCACGGGCATAACTGATGCAGGACTGGCTGAGCGCCGTCAGTTTTTCTCCAGGTCTTTGCCACTTTGACTTGGAGCAGGAGCAAAGCCATGTCTCAGTCACTAGTTGGGGGCATCTGCGTGGGCGTCCCAGTGAGCCCTGCCAGAGGCCCGAGGGCAGGCCCTGGGAGGGCTCCACATCTGGGACACTGGCCCACCTCCTGCTGGCCTCCTCCCCAACGGCCCCTGGCCTCCAAGGGCTGTCACATCGGGAGGGCTCAAAAGATCTGTCCATCACAGCCAGGTGCCTGGGGTGCTGGGGAGCCTCCCTGAAGTCCATCGCAGCCTCTGCAGGGACCGGCTGGGGGAGGTCCCAGCAGGAATGCCCGCTCAGGCCAGGAGGGGCGGCCTGAATGTGTTCAAGCCCAGACTCTCAGTGACTCTGGGCAAATGGCTTAAACTGCTTTGCGCCTCAGTTTCCTCCTGTTAAGGAGGTGGGGATCCCGATCCCTTCCCTACTAGGGTAGCTTGAGGATTACAAGAGGCCCTCACATACACCTAGCTGGAAAGTCCACCCGGGACCTGCAGGTCACGCTAGTGTGTCAGTGCGGTAGGGACCAGGGACCGGCACAGGCCCAGCAGCCAGGGCAGCCGGCTCCCCTTTCACTCCAGCAGCTACCTATGCCTCAGTCTACCCATCTGCACAAGGGGGCTCATGCCAGGGGTGAGTCCACAGTGTGGTGCTGGGCTGCCTGCATCCAGTTAAGGATCATGCTGCCCTGATCAAGCTCAGTTCTGGTGATGACCACGGGACTCAGGCTGCTGCCTCGGCCGAAACCACTGGGCTCTACCGTCACTTGGCCTGCAAGATGGTCTTCGATGACACCCCCCATTATTTTCCGAGTACCTACTGTGTGCCAGGTTGGGCTGAGACCCAGACCAAGTCTCTTCTATTGGATACTAGTTTTCCTGAGGGCAAGACCCAGGCCTGCTGCATCTCTGGACAGAATTAGGGTCCAGCAGGGTGTGTAGGAAAGACTCTCGGAGCTCACTGCCCAACCTCTCTCTATGCAGAAAGGGAAAACCAGACCTAGAGAGATGGCAGCCTGGGCATCCGTGAGGAGGCTGCCATGGGCAGCCGATGTAACGCGAAGGTTAGATTGGGGCTCTGAGTCCAGCCTAACCCTGTGGGCTGTGAGGCGCTGAGGAAGCAAATCACCCTGAGCCTCCACCTTCCCCCCATAAGATGCCCTGGCAGCTGGCAAGTCTCAAGCGCATGTCAGCACAGTCTCAGGTGGGAGCCGGTGGGACTTGTCACAGCCCGGGGGATCCCAGGGGGGCAGCATGGCCAGAGCCTGCCCTAGGCGTGTGATGTGGCTTCACCCTCACATGGTTGTGTATGCTGGGGTGGAAAGGGGGTTCCCTGAGGGTCCCTCAGCCAGATTCCCGTCCCTGGATCACCCCAGAGGTTGGCACCAAGCCAACTGTGCTCCCCACCTTTGGGTGGACTGGGAGTGACTTTCCTTTCCAGAAGGTGTAGGGGGAGGGGATGGCACCCAGGGGAGCAGGGAGGGGGGATCTGATAAGCACCCACTGTGAGGTTCTCGAGGTGATCCAGAAAGTCTAGGGAAGGTGTCCTGTCCTGGGGCAGCAGGAGAGGGCAGGGGGCCAGCCAGTGGCCCACTCGTTTCTGGGCCCTTCAGTCAGTGCATGCAGCTGACGGGTCGTCTCAGTAACTGATACCCAGGCAGCCAGACAAAGTTCTGGTGTGTGACTGGGAGGCTATTTTGTCTAATATGCTAAAAGGCCTTTGGAAATCCCTGGAGCCCATCTGGTCTTAGTTACGCCATAATATTGCTGTCTCTTCAGCTTGCAGACAAGGAAACACTTTTATTTCTCCTTTCAGAGCTCAGGAATGTGTCTTGAACACAGCCCGGTAGACGCCCACTTGGTTCATGAGTTCCTTGATCGCAAGCCGAACCCATCAGCCCTTTAAAGGGCCACTGTTCCTTCCCCTTGGCTGCCCCTCCCAATGGCCCCCAGGAATCCTGAGGGTACATGGCTGGGGAGGGAGGAGCTCAGGCTTTGGGGCTGGCCCTGACTGCCATGCTTCCTCGGCTATGTGACAGGGACCAAGCTCCTGAGAATCAAACACAGCCAGGCACTCGGTGGCACTCGGTGCATGTCGTGGGCGCTACTGAGGCGGGTCTGCAGTTCTAAGGGTGGCTGATAACCATCCCTCCCACACCTGGCACCTCTGCCCACCCACAGCCACCCCACAAACCAGCGGGTGACACAGACAGAGACCCCGTGGAGTCCTGGGACACTCGTGCTTTCCTCTGGGCTGGAGTCTGCTTCTTCTCTGGAGTCTGGTGCCCATAAGCCCCTCGGGTTCCTGCTAGCCACCCCGTATGAACTGTGAGCCAGTGGCTGTGTGTCTCCTGGGTGACACTGGGAAATTCTCCAACTGCCCTTTCCTTTACTGTAGTGATGGCAGGAGCCCACTTTGAGCCATAGCTGCTGTTAGTATGGAACCTGAAAGCCCAAGGGGCGCTGGGTCCCCATTCAAGCTGTGGTGAGGATCTGTGTGAGCAACAAACAGATCCATGCTTTTATGTTAATGAGGTGGTGAGGTGA